GGACGACTCACGTGCTCGACTCAATCGTCAGTCTCTATCTCTGTCTGCAGTTCAATTACATTGTTGCCGTCACTTTCTTGGCGGTCTTATATACAAGAATACCGTACATCTAGTAAACACTCGAGGCTTCAGGAAGGGGCATGATTTTTCTAGAAGTTCATGACGTGTTATTAGCGTCACATGACCTCCGCTGTGGTAACAATATAATAGCGTCAATGAAATTAAAAAACACTGTGGAATCTATCAGCTCTAATGCTAAAGAATACCTAACTAGAATTCAACATAAATGAAAGTTGAAGCCAAGGTCACCACAAAGTTAAGTATTTTTTGGCATGTACAGTAGAACTATTTAGAGCAGAGTGATAAAAATAAATCAGAAAGAGTCTTTTAGAATGATAACCTGAAACTCGGGCTGTTGCTGAAGTAAAAAATTAATAATTCATTTGTTTCGCTCAGCTATCAGTATAGGCATACGCTGTGAGGCTGGGATGATTTTATGAACTTTTCTATTTTATTTACATGAAGAATGATGTGAACCTAGTGGTTAGCGTGCATGGCTGCGTACCTAAAGGCCCAAAGTTACAGATACCAATATGCCACTGAGTGTTCTCCGCACTTTCAGCTGTAGGCACGTTATAAGAGTGACAGTTAATCTTGCTATTCGGTTAAGAGTAGTCTTGTAGGCGGTGGGTGTAACTGACTGGTTGCCCTCCTTCCGGTCATCGATACTAAATTAAGGGATGGTTATGTCTGTATTTTGGTTTTTTTAGTCCCTATGTCGGACAAGCTGCCATTTACGTTGCAATTATTACTGCTTTGAGTGCGCTTTCACGTTTTTATCAATTAAAAAAGTATTGTATTGAATAAAAGTATCGAGGTTCTGCTTGCGGTTTGTAAGGCTAATGCTGGCAGTTGGATTCACTAATTTTTATCGTACTTCTAACAAATAATAAAATTGAAAAGACCAAGACGGACATTTGATAAATTTCATACATCTGTTTTTGAAAGATCTGTAACGCGCTTTATGTATTTGAACAAAGAAGTCTAAAAACTCTTTAATTAAATAAATCTGGATAGTAATTTTATAAACTTTTTTGATTTATTTCTGTAAAGTGTTTGACAATACATCACAGTAAGACTGGTCATAGTTAAAATGACATTCAGTTATGAGGGATGAAATAAGATTACAGTAGGTCTTAGCTCAATCTTTGTCTTGAAACCACATTTTGAAAGTAATTTCTTTTTGTTTTTCTTATCTTTTGTAGATATATCAAGATGCTTATATAAACCAGTTGAGAGAGATCAATACATGTTATACACTGCTAAATCAGTAACCGGAGCGACCTCTACATTTCAATGTGAAAAAGAATGTAATCAGGAAAGAGAATTCACATGTAGGTCTTACACCTTCGTTGAGCAAGGTGGTTTTGTTGGTGGAAATCAATGCTTGTTGAGTGGTGAAAGCAGGGAAACTAACCAGGAGAGGGCGCTTCAATTTCGCTCAAGAGCCTTGTACGCAGAGAAAAACTGTCAGGGTGGTTCTGTTACAGTACTCCCTACATCGTCGACACTACCCCCTTTTAGTACCTATCCTACTTTCCCTCCCACTTACCCACCCCAAGAAAAGTGTGTGCTCGACCAGTACACGTATGAAAAGACGTCGGGATACGATTTTCAGCTCGGGCGGAGGGAACTTATTCGGGTACGGGGTGTGATAGGAATTGTTGGGGAATGTCAAAATGCCTGCCAGCGGTTGGGGGACAGATGTCGAGCTTTTGTAATTCAATATGGAGAATATCAACGATGTTTTTGGTTGGACAATGCTGCTGTGGATAATTCTGATGCTCTAACCTCTACCCCAGGCATGACGTACTTTGAAAAGATATGTTTAAGAGGTAAGGTTTTGTTAGTTTGTTTTGAATTTTGCGCAAAGCTACACGAGGGCTATCTGCGCTAACAGTCCCTAATTTATCAGTGTAAGACTAGAGGGAAAGCAGCTAGTCATCACCACCCACCGCCAACTCACCTGATTTTTAGCGTTATAAGTCCGCAGACTTAGCGCTGAGCCAGTGGGGGTCTGTCACCAAGAAGAAAGAGAAGGATTAATAAATATATTCTATTTCACATGAAGCTCTTTAGAGAAAATATAAAATTTTAGGTTGATGTTTCTGTTCTTGACCGCCGGTACTACAGTGTTTAACAAACTATAATTAATCGATTTTACAGTTTTTAACAAGCAAAAATTAAACTTGTTGAACTGAGGTTATCATAATTACATAGCAGGCTATTTCAACTAAATTATAACAGAATTGAAGAACTCGGAGAGAAATACCTGAATATGTAAATTGGCGCGAAATTCAAAAACAAACAAACAAAGCTACACGAGGGCTATCTGCGCTAGCCGTCCCTAATTT